TGCGGGGCCGCCGTGAGGACCCCCGTTTGGCCGGACGGCGCAGGAGCCGCGCAGGAGCGGAAGCAAGTGGGTGTCAGGCAGCCAGTGGCCAGGCCGAGGACGGGCCTCCCGCTCGGACGAGGAAGGAGAGGGCGGGCGCTGACCTGGGCCACATGAACACTAGGCCACGTGACTTGGACGCATCTTTATTTGGGAGTCGGGCCTGGGCCAGAATCTTTGGAGGAGAGCTGATCACGCTCGAGACGCACTGTCTAATATGACAGCCACAACTTCATGTCGCAAAACTTATGTTTAATTAAGATGAAATAAAATTTAAAAGCTGGTCCTTCGGGGACACAAGCCACCTTTCAGGTGTTCACGGGTGCTTTAAAAGCAGCCAGTGACCCTGTATCGGCCAGCGCAGATGCAGACCTTTCCATTGTCGCAGCGAACTCCGTAAGTCCTGTGCACAAGGGTTATTCAAAGTGCGACAAAACTCATGAGTCCCACGCGGCCCCCCGGCCTTCTCCCAGCACGTCACTTACTAACAGTGACAGTGGACCCATGAACTAACCACCTCTGTGTCTGTTTCCTCATCTGTAAAACAGGAGGCGTCACACCGCCCATCTAAGACCTCTGTTAAAAGGACTCCATTACTTAACATACACATATCACATAGAACCTGGCTTGTTATAATAAACGTTAGCTAGTACTATTTTGGTTGCATGATGTGTATTGCAGAATAACCACTGAAGACCTATTTGAGAGTTAGTGCATATTTTTTATAAGAAATCTTGTAGATGCATGTAACCCTGGTAGAGGCATTTATCCTGGGTGAGAGGTTAAAATAGGTGATCAGTTAACTGATCTCTCTCTCACTCTCTCTCTCTCTCAAAATAAAACTTTAAAAAAAGTGGCTAACAAAGGGAAGGGTCTCAATCTAAACAAACAACAATAGTTATTATCAAGGCTGCAGCTTCTGTGCAGATTTCTTACTTTCTAATAATTGAAATGAAGTGGAAAGAGGTCACAGGAACCATTGACCACACGCGACGGGTGTGTCAAAAAGCACACTATCTCCAAACACTATTCCGGTAACTTCCCCCAAACCCAACTACATGTTTTAAATGGCAGAGACCTGACAATGGGAAGGTTAGCCCAGACACCTTGAGAAAAAGAACCAAAATTGAACGTATTCCAAAGAAAACAATCATTAGGAGTTATAAAACCACAGATGGAAATATTAACTCTACCCGCTTAGCCAAAGTATTGGCAGGGTTCAGTTTTAGGACACAGATAACATGTTTATAACTTGAAGAACCTCATGACCCAGTCTTTTGTTATTTTGGGTAGAGAGAAATGATATTAGAAAATGGACATAAAGTTAAGTTACGCTTACTATTAAGCAAAACTTAATAATGTTAGAATAATAGTTATTTGAAAGCTCTCCTGGTGAAAATGCACTTGTTTTTATCCTTAACGTAAAGAAAACTTTAGTTGTGATTATCAGTAATTTGATTCAGCTTTTCTACTTTTTAATAACTCACTTTAAAGTATTTACTGTCAGGGCGCCTGGGTGGCTCAGTTGGTTAAGCATCCAACTTTGGCTTAGGTCATGATCTCACAGTTCATAGGTTCAAGCCCCATGTCGGGCTCTGTGCTGACTGCCAGCTCAGAGCCTGGAGCCTGTTTCAGATTCCATATCTCCCTCTCTCTCTGACCCTCCCCTGCTCATGCTGTCTCTCTCTCTCAGAAATAAATAAAAAACATTTAAAAAAAATTTTTTAAATAAAGTATTTACTGTCTATTGAGCATTCAAAATTTCAAACACCACAGTAACCAACATTTTAACCCTCAGTTAAAAAAGTAAGGACCACTGAACTCAGTCATATCATTACAGATTAACAGGTATCCCCCCCAAACTTATATTTCGTGTATGAAGTAAAAAGCAATTCAATTATTTATAAATATTTGACTATTTTTTTAAAAGTCTAGTCTTAGCCAAAAATGTAAACTTTGCCTTGATTTGTAAAACCTGGACATCATAATTAACCAGCTGAATATATTTACTAATTTAAGTGATTTTATCTGATTTTACTATACTCAGAACTTAATTTTTTATCCTCTGAAAGATATATGTTATTACCAAAGACCTAATCAAGGAAAGAAGAAACTGTAAAATCATGGACACTTCAGAAATTTCTACCCCCAAGAGAATTGCTTATTAAAAAGTCAAGCTCTGGGGCACCTAGGTGGCTCAGTCAGTTAAGTGTCAGACTTCAGCTCAGGTCATGATCCCCCAGCTCATGGGTTCAAGCCCTGCATCAGGCTCTGGGCTGACTGGAGCCTGCTTCACATTCTGTGTCTCCCACTCTCTCTACCTCTCCCCCACTCAATGGTGTCGTACATACGCCTATTGATATGTTTGATTCCTTTGCTTTCTTAGGCCATAAGCAGTGTTTAGAAGCTAAAACCAAGATAAAAGATTTGGCAAAATACATAATTTATAATGCACACCTACACGTACACACACACACACACACACACACAAATTCTTTAAGTTTATACTACAAGATTTAAGTGTCACTTCTTCTCCCACAAAACTATCTGAGGTTGACTGGTTTGTTCACTCCTTTAGCAAAGGTGTACTCTGTCTGCTAGGCACTCAGTGGGGATGGAATCCAATGTCAAGTTCAGTCGCCTCCCCTCAATGTGGACACGTCAGGCTACGCAGGAACGTGGTATATATACTTGCAACATTTGCGTACCTGAGTGGGTCTTACCCTAATTTTTCAGTGACATCAGTACCTTTAGTTTTATTCTTTCTCACTCAATTTCTTTTTTAAATGAAGAAGATAATAAATATTGAAACAGAAATATTAGTAAATACAATAAGTAATAAAGACAGAATTATTCAGATTGCTTCCCTTTGGTTGTTTCCAGTGTCAGAGGGTTAAAGGCCTGTTTCAATACTTGGGGGGAAATTATTATCTAGAGAAAAATATTTCTCCTGGAAACCCATGAAAAATTGTGAAATAGAAAAAGTGTTATCAGATCGGCTCAGTAGATGGATTATTAAAAAATTTTTTAAAAATCAGAGGTGATAGGACCTTCATCCTAGTTTTTAAATTAAAAAGTTAGGATTTTTTAAATAAAAAAATGTTAATAAAACAGCTTAGATAAAAATACTAAATAAAAAAAAAATTTAGAGCTCATACGTCCTTCATCTTCTGGTCTGATTCTCCAGAAACTCTTCAGAGATTACATTCTCTAGATTCAAAGGATGAAGGAGAGGGGGGCAACATCTTGAAAACGTTTTATATGACTCTCAGTATCTGTGACATTTCACTCATTTGCACAGAGATTTGGGAAAAGAGGAACTTCTGAGGGGTAGCAACTTCATCATCTATTTTCCCCTTGGGCACTGTGGCATTGATCCTAGATCTTCAGTCTGCTCCAAAGAATCTTTTTCCGCCCAACACAACACACCTGCTTGAAAATACACCTTACTACAATTAACAGGGACTGAAAAATATCAGCGGTGGAAATGCTACAGTTAACTCAACGTAACACAGGATTCGAAGGTCGGCCAGTTTCAACCCGAATGTAAAAGCCCAGGATACTCAACAGCAGCACTTCTTTAACACAAGCAGAGAAAAGCCATCCACCAGGAATTTGGGGAATTAGTTGGGGAATGCATCATGTTTTGTTTCCTGCTGTTCATAGATCACTGATCAAAAAAATCTATGAAAGACAAGACTCCACTTTAAAGAAGGGCAGTCTGTAGCGGGAAAGGACTTCTCTTTCAAAAGTCACTTTAGGTAAAAAGAAAAATCTTTTGTTCCTCTTCTAAGAGGAAGACTTTGATGCTTTATTTAGAACAAAGTGATATATCAATTATCCACAACTAGTAACATCTTTGAAATGTCAGAAAATAAAGCAAATGGATGTTTAGCTCTGAACATGCTCATAAAAGAGAAAGATATCCACGACTCTGAAATACGCTTCCTAACAGACAGTGGTCAAGATGAATATATTTAGAGTGATCTTGTGAGTAACATCCACCCAACACGGAGAGATTAATAATAATGCACACTGCCCAAGGAATGCGCAAAACCCTGGTTTGGGAAACAACCGCCACGTCGTTACCGTAGGTGCTACTTTTCGACCAGCAGTGGTAATACTCATTTTAAGAAAAAGAAGGTCCAGTAAAAGAAAGTATCATTAGCATTTTCTCTATTTTATTTTTAAATCTTTAGTAGAATATTGATTCTTCTTAATAAATGCAAATGCACCTTAATAATTCTATTCTTTCAGTGAAATACGATAAACACAAATCACATAAAACATGGATTAAATTCTAATTATTGGAACGTACTTCCTTGATCTCAGTAAGACATATGAATCAAAGGTATCGGAGAGAGAACTGTGCAATCTTTGGCTAAAGTAACATGGCGAGGGGCAGCTGGGTGACTCAGTCAGGCAAGCATCCGACTCTGGATTTCGGCTCAGGTCATGATCTCACGGTCTGTGAGACTGAGCCCCGGGTCGGGATCTGCACTGACAGCGTGGAGGCTGCGTGGGGTTCTCTCCCTCCTTCTTCCTCCCTGCCCCTCCCCTGCTCATGAGCTCTTTCTCAAAATAAATAAAGTAAAAAAAAAAAAAAAAAGTAAATGTTTATTTATTTTTGAGAGAGAGAGACAGAGTGTGAGTGGGGAGGGGCAGAGAGAGAGGGAGACACAGAATCTGAAGCAGCTCCAGGCTCGGAGCTGTCAGCACAGAGCCCGACACGGGGCTCGAACCCACAAGCTGTGAGATCATGACCTGAGCCGAAGTCGGATGATTAACCGACTGAGCCACCAGAGGCTCCTCAAAAAGTTAAAACAAATAAAACAACATAATGATCCAGGAATTCTGTCATGGTGTCAAATCTTCACTAGTAATTAACTAAAAGAACCCGGCCAAAAAGAACGTATTTTGAAAAGACAGGTCTACAACCTCCCCACGCACCCGCCATCTACCTTGGACAACTCCATGCCGGGCCCGCACTGCTTGCAGAGGACGCAGTTTCCAGAACCATCCCGGTACTCCTGCTGTCTGCAGTCTCCTGTTTCACAAATCACTTCACGCACCTGAAAACAAAGTTTCCCAAAATGTTACTTCTTTAAAGGTTTATTTATTTTTGAGAGAGAGAGAGACACAGAGGGGAAGCGGGGGCAGGGGGAGCAGAGAGAGAGGGAGACACAGAATGTGAAGCAGCTCCGGGCTCCGAGCTGTCCGCACAGAGCCCAACGCGGGGCTCGAACCCGCGGACCGTGAGACCATGACCTGAGCTGAAGTCGAAGGCCTGAGCCACCCAGGCGCCCCCCAAAAATGTTATTTTAAAGTAAGTTAATTACATTTTTTTTTTTGCAAGAAAGCAGCAGCTGATTATCAGTATCATCAGAATTATTCATACAAGCACCGAATGTCAATGTTAATTCAGAGTAAGGCCAATTTAATTTTCACGTTAGGAAGAAAAATCACTTTCTAAACAAGTCAGTGGAACAAATAAACCAATAAGCCTGAGTCTCCTCTGTATTCCCTGAATGAGGTCTTTTTCTTTTACTCTATTCTTTTCTTTTGGAATGAATGGCTATCTTCTTCTGCTACTTTTCTGAGTGCCCGAGATAGAGAACGACTTGGGACCTATTCCCTTTTCTAAGGAAGAAGCACCGGGCGAACAGACCAGTGCGGTGGGAAATGTCTGTCACACACAGGGGAATAGGAAATTGTTTTTGATGCTTGTAATAATGAGCGATTATTTAGTACAAACTACCTCCACCTCAACACAAGAGGGTCTACAGCGACGCCCTGCAAACTACCTGAATAAGGCGGGAGCCTCAACCTCTGGGGCAGGCAGGAGGCAGAGTCCCCAACAGAAAATGATCTGGGGCTGAAGGCCTAATAATCTCTTCTGGCCTCTCTTAACTCCCCTTGCCTACCCATCTGAAGGAGCTGGATTTTATTAGAGAGGCAGGAGACCCCAATCCGCCACAAAGGGGCTGTAATCGCTTTGTGAGAGAAATTCCACTCCCTCCCTCCCTCCTGGACCAGTCACTTGCATGTTTAACAACCCAAAGGAAAGAAAGGACATTTTCCTTACTCCACCTGCACCTCAGTCTCCACTGAGACCCCATTTCCCCTACTCTGTCTTTCAAGAAGACTTCAGGTACTGTCTTCAGGGTGAATAATTCTTTCTCCATTTGCAGATGACGATCCTATCTCCAGATATAATGAATTTCAGTTCTTTTGAACATCTTCATCAGTCTTTTGGGTCAAGTTTTCAAACATTAAAAGTCTCCATCCGTCTTTAATGTTTTTCGAAACCAAGAAGGATATAAGTAACTATATAAAAATAACAGCTCTTTTAAAAATCGATGCTAGGGGCGCCTGGGCAGCTCAGTCGCTTAAGCATCTGACTCTTGGTTTCGGCTCAGGTCATGATTTCACGGTTCCGTGAACTCGAGCCCCGCGTGGGGTTCCTCTGGGCTAAAGTGCAGAGCCTGTTTGGGATTCTCTGTCTCCCCCTCACTCTCCGCCTCTCCCCCACTCACTCTGTCTCTGTCTCTCCCAAAATAAATAAACTTAAAAGAAAACAAAAGGATTTTAACAGTTGCCACAAATGTCAAGACTCAGCAGCAATCTTTGCTTATTAATTACCTGCTCCCCTGATCAAGTACAATTTGAAAGAAAACTTTAAAAGATGGCGGTGGAAAGAGAAAACAGTTTCAATACTATTGATGGGAATTCTTCCGCTACATTCTGAAGAAAGTAAAGACTTGACTTACCAAATAGGCCAGTAAAACCACAATGGTGCAAAATGCTTTCTCTGGTCCCAGGAGCACTTTTAAAGCCATGGCTCTTTATTGTTGAAGAGTTTTCTGAAAGACAGGAAGATCTAGTTAACCGGAAGAACACCAGTCACTGCGTTCTTGTATTTATCTAGAATGTTTACCCTTAATAGATATACGAGGTAATACTATTTATGTCTTAAAGGAGATCGCTTTGTAAAAGATACATAGACAAATAATAGGTAAGCCTTTAACAACTGAGGTTGGGAGAATGAAAGCTTTGTGCCTCTGAAATTCATCCAAAATTCCTTCTGGCTCTGAATTCCTGGGTCTATACGTGACTTTATTTTCTTTTTTTAAAAAGATCTTATTTTTTTTAGGTAATCTTTACATCTAATGTGGGGTTGGCATTTAAAACCCCAAGATCAAGAGTAACATGCTCTACTGACTGAGCCAACCAGGAGCCCGTACACATGCCTTCATTTTCTACCCAAGTCTCGACAGTGTCCAGACTACTCCACCCAGCTGAGAGTCATATTCAAACAGTGACTATATAAACCTTTCATGTAGATGGGTTTGGTCAGGGCCAAGAGGGAAATAATCGTGATAAAATAACAAAGAACCTGTGCTAACCACTGTATGCCAGGCACAGTCTTCAGTGCATTAGCTCATTTACCTTCCTAAGTACTCTGAAGGTAGATACTATCATTATTCCTGTTTTATAGATGGGGAAACTGAGGCTCCGAAAGGGCAGGGTCACTTGCCCCAGATCATACTGCTAGTAAGCGGCAGAGCAGGACGCACACCCGGGTGGCCTGGCCCCTGGGGCTCTGGGTCACATATACCCTGCGACACAATCGGCTCGGTTTAATGTAAACATTACACTTGGATGCTGGGCCTTGAGCTCCACTAAGAACCAGAGACGGCCGATGTCTGGCACTGGGGAGTTCTTCCTCCAACCAGAACAGTGAAGGTGATCACTGAGTAGAAAAGTAAGCATTTATATTAAAACACCTAAAAACCAATTACAAGGGATGATATCGGAGGCATTTATCTTTCAATAAGAGGTAAACCAAACCTCTTTCTCTTTATGAGCAATGACCTAAAATACAGCAACAAACGTGGTTGCCTTTTTTTACAGATCCACACAACGTCAAGAGAAGAGATTTATTTAAAAAAAAAAAAGAAAGAAAGAAAGAAAGAAAGAAAGAAAGAAAGAAAGAAAGAAAGAAAGAAAGAAAGAAAGAAAGAAAGAAAAGAAGAAAGAAAGAAAAGAAAATGTGAAGACTCCACTGGTGGCTTCATCTACCAGGTAGAAAACAAGGGTTCAGTTTCCCTTCCAAGTTGAATCTTCCAAAACTAACAGGGACCCAGAGCAGACAATCAGACCACTTAGAAAGAAATCAGAGCAGGGCGCCTGGGCGGCTCAGTCGGTTAAGCATCGACTTCGGCTCAGGTCATCAGGTCATGGTCTCGCAGTTTGTGGGTTCGAGCCCCACGTCGGGCTCTGTGCTGAAGGCTCAGAGCTTGGCGCCTGCTTCACATTCTGTGTCTCCCTCTCTCTCCACCCTTTCCCTGCTTGTGCTCTGTCTCTCTCTCTCTTAAAAATAAATAAACATTAAAAAAGAAGAAGAAACCAAGGCAGAGAACCAGAACTGTGGGCCAAAGACCTCAAGAAAGACAGTAACACTATCAACAAAGGAGGCAGGCTGGGGGGAGGGGGGCGGCCAGCCAGAGGTGAGCCTGAACACAGCCGGGAGAGCTACCAGCCTGGGCACCCCAGTCCCGAGTAGGTCCAGTCATCAGGGCAACGAGGAATCCTTTACACATCTGTCGAACGAATGACCCATTCTGACTGAATGCAAAGTGTTGTGGGGCTTTGTTTATTTGTTTATTTTGCTTTTCTAGCTTTTTGGTCGTTATCTTCTTTTTCCTCCCTGCATATCTTGAAAGGACCCAGCAATTACCCGACCAGCTTCCTGCCTGTGCAGACACAGGATTGGGGGGAGAAGATAAAATCACATTCCCTGAAAAGTATGCTTCGGGTTATCTTTTTCGACATGGTCCTGATGTTTAAAAACGTGCTAAGTTTTCAAAGTAAAAACATAAAATCTGCATGGATTAAGCTCATATGGAAACGAGGGTATAAATGCGGAAGCATGCACACAAAATAGGAGAAAAGGGATTGATGGAGTCTGTGCCGCAGTGAGGCACCTGGTCTGGACAGACCACTGTACGGGGATGCCGCACTGGCTGCGGAGGGCACACGGATACTTAGCATCTTCTCCTTCCTCTTTATTTAAATGTTTATTTAATTTTGAGAGAGAGAGAGAGACAGAGCCTGAGCAGGGGAGGGGTAAAGAGAGAGGGAGACACAGAATCTAAAATTGTTTTTTAAGGTTTTATTTATTTTTGAGAGAGAGAGAGAGAGAGAGAGAGAGAGAGCATGAGCAGGGGAGGGTCAGAGAGAGACGGAGATACAGAATCTGAAGACAGGCTCCAGGCTCTGAGCTGTCAGCACAGAGCCCGACGTGGGGCTTGGGCTCACAGACCACAAAATCATGACCTGAGCCGAAGTTGGAGGCTCAACTGACTGAGCCCCCCGGGCCGCCCCTCTTAGCATCCTCTTAAAGGGGCGATTACTACCATGCATGCCAAGTTAGAAGTCACGGCCCTATGATTTTGACTTCAGAAGATACACGTGTTCTATGTACAAAAACAAATGAGCCGGAATACCATCAACAGTTAGGTTCATTCATACTGTGGCATGCTGGGTGAAGGTCTTCTCCTCTTATTCCTAAAAATTCTTTCTAGTGTATTTCACTGTTCATTAAGTAAATGAAAAAAATTCATGTATAATGTTCTTTAGGCAAAAAGACAAACTGCAGAGTCCTGCTTGAAAATCTATAAAAGAAGTGATGAGATAAAAATCACATAAACACTATTAAAGAAAAAAACAAAATTAAAATTTTTTAGCGTTTATTTTTGAGAGACAGGGCGTAAGTGGGGGAGGGTCAGAGAGAGAGGGAGACACAGGATCTGAAGCAGCTCCGGGCTCCGAGCGGTCAGCACAGAGCCCGACGCGGGGCTCGAACCCACAACCTGTGAGATCGTGATCCGAGCCGAAGTCGGACGCTTAACCGACTGAGCCACCTGGGGGCCCCATAAGTAAAAAAACATGTACAGTACTATGACTTTTGCCTCAGAAAGAGATCTATGTATTTTTTTAGTTTTTTCAGGAAAACACTGAATGGAACTACATCCGATGCGCTGACTTGTTTTATTCTCCCAACACATATGCTAAATTGAATAATTTGCACGGATTTATGTTTGCAAATGAACCTTTCACCTCCTCAGCCTGGCACCTATGCTCCTCATCATCTCACCTGCTAGCCCACCAGTGTGGTCACCGCTCTCCTGCCCGGCCGGCTGTGCCAGAGCCGCCCACCCTCATCTTTCCTGAGCGCCCGGGGTCTTGCCCTCTCACACAGACTGTAACCTTGGTCTTGAGAGCCTTTCTTCCTAAATCCCTCCAGGGACCTGGTCAGCTGCGCCCCCGCTGAGACGCTGTCCACGACCAAGCGCACTGAAGAGGTCTGCTCCCTATGGCCCTATGGGCCTTTCTTGCATCCATGCACAGTATGGGCCGTCGGGCCTACCAAGTATGCTTATTTTTACCCACCATATTGTCTGTTCTTCTGTTCCTTGAAAACAGGGGCCACACCTTATGGCTCTCTGTATTCTCAGTGTCTGGCGCAGTGCTGGGCCAGAGATTGAAATGTGCCATCGAAATGTCACTTCTCTTTTCTGTGACTTCTCTCGTGGCCTGGCTTTCTTATGCCAAGAGGCTGGGAAATAATTTAGATGGCGTAGCTTGTCCTGACAGCAGCTGGGAGCATCTGAAGTCCAGGTTCAAATGGTTTTTTCGCACGTAAACCCAATATGGGTAAAAATATTCTGGCTCGTGGTGGAAATTGTCAAGGGAAAGTGGCAACCAGAATGCGTGGGTTTTCAGTCCCATTTCTTAGCAGTGTCACTTTGAAACTACGTGTCTATAGAGATAAAGCTAGAACCTATCTCACAGGGGTGCTGTGAGGAAAGCGCTTAGCCCAGTGCCTAAAACTGAATAAACGCTTAACAGATGACTGGGGCTGAGGTCATTACTACAGCAGTTGCTACTGACGATGCCACTCATTAGCATGTGAACTTGGACAAGTAACTTAATCTGAGTCTCAGTTTCCTCATCGCTACGTAGGGCATAGTGATAACACCTCCTGGACTTGCTGGGAGGAATGGGTTTAACAGCACTTAAAAAGCACTTCCGGGAGAGTGCCTGGATATGAACTGTTTCTTACACATAGTAAGGGCTACGCAGGTGTCAGTGATGATTACTGTTGTAGTGAACGGCAGTTTTATGGAAGGTCATATGATCCAATGTATGTGACAGTCCCTGAAGCCTGTAACCTGCTAGACAAGCGGTGATAGAACACTATTCAGATGGTCGCAGTCTAGCGTGGCTGCCGATGCTTTAGATCTCGATACCTACAGGTCTGCAGAAAACACCCAAACACTAAGAATCAATTCAAAGTCTGCTCTAAGCACTTAGATGTCAAGGGCTGGGGTAAGGCTTTATACAAAGGCTAATTTTCCCCCTTACTCCCACACGCTCAGGTAGATAGTTATTTCCACCCAATAGGAGAGAAAACCAGGGGTCGAGGACATGCAATAGAAAGGTGAAAACCGAATCAAGTTCATGCCTGGTGACTCCAAAGTGAGGCTCTCGGCCACTCTGCCAGGTTGACTTAGGGCTATATCATCCCACGCGGTGGCATCCAATGACCCTTTTGGGTCAGTGCGAGCACCTGAACAAAACTGATCAACAAAAACAAAGCTATGTAACAAAGTAATACATGTAACGATCCATCCATTTATTGAACATGCTTTGATTAAATGGTTATTAGGTGTTTGACAAGAGGCAGTATCAAGTCGGGCAGGATGGTACAAAGGTGCACTCTGAGGAAGCTCACAGCTTAGCAGGGCTGGTGACATCTCCTAAGCACCTTTTCATCCAGCCTGGCAAAGGGGTATTT